AGAATGTCATGATTTCAGCTCCCTGCCTCCGCTGCTCTCAGCCACCTGCAAGCGCTCTTGGCCACGCCCACTCCTCTGCTCTGCACGGAGATCAGCTGATCAGCTGCAGGAGGAAACTTATCTTGCAGTGTGGACTGCACAGAATGCAGGAGGTGCCAAATAATTTAAATCAATATATTTTAAATTAAAATTCCATGCCGGTCGTGCGGCTCATCCATCAATCAGCCAGTTGTGTGTCATGTCCAATCTTACTTTGAAAAACCGCAATAGAGCGAGTCCGCGAAAAACGAACTGCAAAAGTAGCGAGGGACTACTGTATTACTTTCTTGTCATGTTTTTAACTGCTCCAAACACATCCCAAAAAAAAAAAGAAGGAACCTTTTGGCAGCAAAAGTAAGAAATCAGAAAAACCCAAGAAGTTTGGAGATAAATATAGCTTACCATCATAGAAGCTTGATCCATCATACATTAATAACTAATAATTAAAACATGCAAAATCATATAAAATAAACAAAATACGGCGCACTTCATCAGGAATCTTTTAGTTCCTCTGTTAATATAATAGCTTGGTTCTATGTTAAACCGTTATTAAATTTCCTGTTTGGATCAGTAAAGGGGACAGTAAAGTGGTGTAGCAAGAACATTTTATTTGCTTACAGGACAAGATGACCGAGTCATCTGTGAGTCTGGAAGTCCTCTGAATCTGCAGAGCTGTACATTTTTCCTATTTAATCTAGTTACCGTGACCCACTTCTGTTCTACAAATGAGTTACTGACAGTAAAAGAACAACATGCGCACACGATGAAGCAGATGTTGGTTAGCCTGCTGCTCGCATGAAACTCTGCTCGTTCTCATTTACTTCTGACTTTGAGTCTGAGCTCTGTTTGTGTTCAAGTCTACCAGAGAGATGTCAGTAAAGAGCTTGGAACAGTTTTTCTTTCCAAAACGTCTCACCTGTTCATGTGCCCATCTCTGTCTGTCTTCAGGGGATCGTGGCTGTGCCTTGATGCCCCTCTGGAGGTCCGGGTTGTTGTGGTGCACCGACGGGAGGTTCAGGGACTTTGGCCTGCTGTCGTGGTGATGGTGAGCTGGTGAATAGGAGGCAGCCTCAGATTTAGAGTGAGGGTAGTCACTTGGTGCAGGGTCCTGTGCCAGCTCCTCTGGGCTTTGGTCGGTGCCACTGCTTAGACTTCCCATGCTCATGCTCATCTTAATCTCAGCAACAATTTGGTCAATGTCCTCCTCAGCCTCCTCTCCTGTCTCCCCCTCCACCACCAGCACTTTGCGGCTGCGGTAAGGGGAGACTCGCACTGAGTTCCCATTATCTTCAGTAGCATAGTAGTTTCCAGGGTAAGCCCGTCCATGTCTATCTTTTTCATCACCTTCCTCATCTTCCTCTTCATTGGGGCAGCACTCTTCACACTCTGCCTCCTCCTCCTCCTCCTCCCTGTCGTGCTGCTGGGTGTACAGGGTGTCTTCCATGGTAGACTTGTGATGGTGATGATGATCCAGGATGGGCTCTGGTCGTCCATTGTATATCTGCTCATCAGGATCTTGCTCCACCACCTCACACCGGACCTCTCCCTCCCCCTGGGCCCACTCCTCCACCCTGTGGCGTTCTCGATCGGCCCACTGCTCCTGCCTGACCTGGCTCTCTTCCCTCCACTCCTCCTGCTCCTCCTCATTTACCTCTCTCCACTCGTCCACCACCTCTTCCTCATCCTCTTGCCACTCCTCTCTAATTGCCTCCTCTTCCTCATTTTCCACCCATTCCTCCTCTCTCACCTCTCCCTCCCCTTCTCCCTCTCCCCCATCAACCCATCCTTCCACAGCCTCTTGACATTCGCTGGAGTGGGATCCACATGGCTGCTTGGAGCCAGTGCAGTCCCCCTGACTGTGGCTGTGGTCGTGGTTGCAGTCCCCCTGGCTGCTGCAGTCCATACCCTCCAGGTAGCTGTCATCCTCAGGGCAGTAGCGGATGTAGTAGGTGACACCCTCATCCTCCTCTGCAAGTCCTGGAAAGTTTGACAATCAAAATCAGACGTTTCTTAATATCCATAGCTTTCATAAAAATATTTTTAAAAATCTGTATCTATGCTAAGCTCAATGATTCTGATTTAGTACCACATGTAAACGTGACCTGAGTTGAACTTGAAACACCAAAACAAACTAAAAATAATTGTGACTTTGTCATACATACATACATACATACATACATACATACATACATGCATGCATACATACATACATACATACATACATACATGCATACATGCATACATGCATACATACATACATACATACATACATACATACATGCATACATACATACATACATACATACATTCATACATACATACATACATACATACATACATGCATACATACATACATGCATACATGCATACATAGATTATCTTCCGCTTGTTCCTAAGCAAGACATTCTGTCCATAAAAGTTATAAACAGAATTGGTGACAATAGGCAGCCCTGGTGGAATTCAACTCCCACCCTGAAGGGGTCCGACTTACTACCATCAATGCGAACCAAACTCTCGCACCGCTAGTATAGGGACCAAACAGCCCATTACAACAGGTCCCCAATCCCATACTCATGGAGCACCCCCACAGTGTACCCCAAGGAACACTGTTGAATGCCTTCTCCAAGTCCAGAAAATGCATGTAGACTGGATGGGCAAACTCCCATGACCCTTAAAAGACACCAGTGAGGGTAAAGAGTTGGTCCAGTGTTCCACAGTCAGGACAGAACCTGCATTGCTCCTCCTGTATCTGAGGTTCAACCAGTGATTGGACTAGCTTCTCCAGTACCCTGAATAGACCTTACCAGGGAGGCTAAGGAAAGTGATGCCCCTGTAATTGGAGCATACCTTCCAGTCTCCCTTTTTGAAGAGGGGAACTACTACCCCAGTCTGCCAATCCAGTGGCATTGCCCCCAATGTCCATGCAATATTGCAAAGGCGTGTCAACCAAGACACCCCCGCAACATCCAGAGCCTTAAGGAAATCAGGGCAAATCTCATCCACCCTTGGAGCCCTGTCACCTCAGAGCTTTTAACCATCTCAGCAACCTCAGCCACAGTTGTGGACAGACCAACTCCAAAGACCCCGATTCCGCTTCCTCCATGGAAGATATGCCAGTGGGATTGAGAAGGTCCAAGAAGTATTCCTTCCACCTCTCAATGACATCACTGGTTGAGGTCAACAGCACCCCACCTTCACTGAACACAGTGTTAGTAAAGCACTGATTTACCTCCTCAGCCACCTGATGGTTGGCCAAAATCTCCTTGGAGCCGACAGAAAGCCGTTATCCAGGGTCTCACTGAACTCCTCCCACATCCAAACTTTTGTCTCAGCAACAGCCAAAGGTGCGGACTGCTTGGCCCTTCGGTATTCTTCAACTGCCTTCGGAGTCCTACCAGCCAACAAGGACTGATAGCACTCTTTCTCCAGGTTGACAGCCTCCCTAACCCGGTGTGTCCACCACTGAGTTTGAGGATGGCCACCGCGAGAAGCACAAACAACCTTGTAGCCACAGCTCAAGGCAGCCACTTCAACACTTGAGGTGCAGAAGATGGCCCACTCTGATTCAATGTCACCCACTTCAGTTGGGATGCAGTTAAAGCTCTTCCAGAGGTGTGAGTTGAAGATCTTTCTGATGGGTTCTTCTGAAAGGCATTCCCAGCAAACCCTCACTACATGATTGGGTCTACTGGGTCTGTCCAGCATCTTCCCCCGCCATCTGATCCAACTCACTACCAGGTGGTAATCAGTTGGCAGCTCAGCTCCTCTCAGCTCCTCTCTTCACCCAAATGTCCAAAACAAACGGCTGCAAATCAGATAACAAGACTACAAAGTCAATCATCATCTACGACCTAATGCGTCCTGGTGCCAAGTGCACTTATGGACACCCTTATATTCGAACATGGTGTTTGTGATGGACACTTTGTCACGTTGTCATAAAAAAATTCAAATATGAGTCACAACTGGGTAATAAAATCTGACTTGGGCCACTTTTGCCTGCAGTGTGAATGTCACCTTAGACAACCAAGAGACAAGGTAACCTCTCAGACTCAAAGCCCACTTAGGAACAAAATTCTTAGGGGTCCAAGTGAATGTTTTATTGAAATATTTCACACAGTGTCTCTTTTGTAAAAGATGGTTATTTGTACGGAAGACTGTCCTTGTTTGAACGTGGTCTACAGTCTGTTGGAACACATTCTGTGTGCAGCATCACAGACTGTACGCACTGTGCTCAACATATCCAGTCTGGGTAATTTTCTGTTGTATAAGTGATGCATTGTAAAATGGATCCCCCAATCCGTGCCCACTGTTGCACTTTTTTTCTCAGCATATCTTTCTTGGGCTTCAAATGTAATTCTGTTGATGGTCCCTGAAACATTCTGCATTAAGTCTACAAGAGACTGGAGTGACTTACAAAAATCTCCAAAACTGGACTCTCATTTCTAAGGGGCTTTGAAAGCAATTATTATCGACCTTTTTAAAGGAAAATGCTGCTGTTACTCGGTCTGCAAGCCCAATTAGTTTTATCTCGCTGCTCAACATTTAGAAAATTATTGCCTTGATGTGCATATTTTAATTGTGTCCTTGTAAACATGTCTGTTTATGCGTTAACTTAATGTAGTGTTAATACTATTAGTTTTATTTGGAAATTATTGTCTGTTTTATAACCCCATTTCACTTCTCCCTCAAGAGGATTTGGCCTTTTCCAGGCTACAGATGTAAAAAAGAAACAGTTCTAATTTCTTCTGTCTGGTTAAATATAGCTTGAATAATACGAAAAGTAAACATTTACAATATGGCATTTGTTCGAGGATTTGAAGTTTCAGTAGCTTTAGATAGAAAAAAATTGAGTATATTGAATATATATATATACATACAAATATATGTATGTATGTACATATATATATATATATATATATATATATATAATATATATTTATATATACATATATATATATATTGAAGTATTTTTTAATTGAATTGAATTGAATTGAATATTCATGTATGTATATATAAACTGAACAACTTAGAAACATCAAAACCTTGAATGATTCATTTAATGACTGCTTTAAATTTTTATTCACTGTTTCTGCATTCTGGTCATGAATACATTTAAAAAGACATATTGACATGTTTGGCAGTGGCTCAGTTGGTAGAGCTGTTGCCTCTCAGTGAGAAGGTCGCTCGTTCAAATCTCGTCCGGGGGCCTTTCTGGGTGGAGTTTGCATGTCCTGTCCGTGCTGCGTGGGTTTTCTCCGAGTACTCTGGTGCATGTTAGACTGATGGGTAACTCTAAATTGTTCCTAGGTGAAAGAGAGAGTGAATGGTTGTTTGTCTCGTTTGTCTCTGTGTCCCTGTGATGGACTGGAGACCTGTCCAGGTGTCCTCACCTCTCACACAGACTGCTAGATATGGGCAGCAGTGACCCCCATAACCCGAAATGGAAGAAGTGGGTAAAGATAATGGATAGATGGATGGATGGATGAATGGATGGATGGATGGATGGATGGATGGATGGATGGATGGATGGATGGATGGATGGATGGATGGATGGATGGATAGATGGATGGATGAATGGATGGATGGATGGATGGATGGATGGATGGATGGATGGATGGATGGATGGATGGATGGATGGATAGATGGATGGATGATGGATGGATGGATGATGGATGGATGGATGATGGATGGATGGATGAATGGATGGATGGATGATGGATGGATGGATGAATGGATGGATGAATGGATGGATGGATGGATGGATGGATG